TGTCTGTGAAACATGCCTACAGCCTCACAGCTCAACCAGGCACATCACAACATCAGACCTGGGGTAATGGTTCGTTGCAGACTGCCAGGATATCCTTGTCGACATGAGTAATACAGATTAACAAGATTTCCACAAGACTCACTTATTGCTAAAAAAAACAGTTCATGATTTTGAAAGATATTTTCAACCCAAATATGTTTTTTCAGGATTATTTTTAAACACACATGTTTATGAATAAGTTATTATTTCTGTATGTGGAACTCATCAGAATGTCATGGTGTTAATCTAATATTGACATATTGCTGCATGCCATCGCTTCTTCCAGTCTTGCTGAACTGAAGATAATATCTCATACAAGCAACACTGTGAGTGTGAGTTCATGAACCGACTTATTGATTGTTCAGTGTAAATTCTAACAGAAAATATATCCCAATTAACATCAGATTAATAACACAAAATAATAAAAGAGAGTATTTTAAAAAAACAGGTTAAAAGGTGAACGGATGGCCTATTTAGTTCTAGTAAATCAAATACCTAACAGTCTTTCAACAACTCAAAATTACCACCGGAAGATGAATATGTAATGAATGTTTACAATGAGCTTTAAGAATGAAACAGATCATTCAGTTTTAAAATCATATACTTTGACCTGGTTTAACAACAAGAATTTCAGTTGACCATGTGATGAAACAATGCAAGGCACCTTAAATTAGTGCAGTAAGTAACAGCGTTTGTCTATCAACGTGATCAAACAATGCAAGGCACCTTAAATTAGTGCAGTAAGTAACAGCGTTTGTCTATCAACGTGATCAAACAATGCAAGGCACCTTATATTAGTGCAGTAAGTAACAGCGTTTGTCTATCAACGTGATCAAACAATGCAAGGCACCTTAAATTAGTGCAGTAAGTAACAGCGTTTGTCTATCAACGTGATCAAACAATGCAAGGCACCTTATATTAGTGCAGTAACAGCGTTTGTCTATCAACATGATCAAACAATGCAAGGCACCTTATAGCAGTTCAGTAAGTAGCAGCGTTTGTCTATCAACGTGATCAAACTAGTTAATCATAACGACACATTTCAACCAAATTTGATACGAATACATAATCTTCTTGATAAATACTGCATTTTCAGAGTATTTGACACACTTCTGTTTATGTTGATATAACAGTTCACCTGCACCATATGCAAAATAAACATCTTCAGCGCTTTATAACCTTATAATTATTGACAGCATTTTAAAAGTTGGAAAGATATGTGTTGAATGTTGACCTTTATTTTCAATTCTGAAGATCATCATGATTATCTGGAAGTCAAGATAATGTGTAAAACTCATGTTTTAGTTACAACGGCTTAGGTTTGATTCCTTAGCCTGGAGTGAATATTGTAGCTTTGATTGTAATCAGCCTTAATTTCACACTCAATCTGTAAGTATAACCCAAGTTCATCCCTTCTTTTTACGTAAAAACACATAGAAAGATTCCATTGCAATTTGCAGAGTATACTATCATGTCGTCAATAAGTTGTGCAATTCTATTATTACCATAGTTACCATGGTTACTAGGGGTGACTATTGCGACAGCAACAGTCTACTGCAACATACTATTGTGATAGCGACAGACTATTGCGACCAACTATTGCAATAGTTTTTTCTCTCCTTGAATTGTCTCATTTAAATTTAATTCCCAAATGAATGTATAGTTTATATTAAATATAAACAAGATGAAGTTTTTCTCTTACTAACTGACAAGAAACTTGAAACCCAGATCAAGTAAACAGTTAAAACATAAACACATACAATCGATGTATCAATAGTTTTTCGTTTATACCATCAATTAATTGATGTCGGAGACTCAACATTGCAATCAATCGATAGTTCGATGCATCATTACAGTTCTTATAGTCACCTACATGATCTAAATTCAATATATTTCATTCCCATTCAGTATGAATTCAAGCACAACTTGGGTAATACAAACAGTGTGGGGCGTCAAATGAGTGTGTAGGGAGAAAGGGGCGAGGTTTAGAACAGTAGCTTCAGTAAGTAACTTGCAAATATTGTGTCTACAAGCCTACAGGTGTGAGATCTGATACAACCTGTTTTTTAGCACCTGGAAAGTGACAGGTCACTTTACCTGTCTGAGAGTGGCTTAGATTCCCCGTGTGATGTTTGAGAGTCAACACACTACACAGGTACAATCACACCTACCTTGGCCAGTCTTTGTACAACTCGTTACAGGTGTGACAATGATAAGTTTCTCATGGTGAAAATTAAAAAGTTTGACATGCCTTCATTTGCAACACACACACTGCCTATTGAAACAAGGGATCACATTGTCTACAAGTATTTTCATTAACTGCATATTTAGAGGAAGATCTGCTTTATTCATCTTGAATGCTGTGGTGTGCCAACTGGCAAACAATTACTGAAGGCGACTTTATCCAAAAAGAAAAATATCTCTGAATGAGTTGTTTTGGGACTATGCAGGGCTCGATTTAAGAGATGTTAACCTACTTGCACCAGGTGCAACCTAAGATAAAAACCTAGTTGCACCAGCCAAATTCCAGTTGCACTGCTTTTATTGCAATATGTAATGTAAGAAATATGGTATTGAATTATTTAGATGGTAAAAAGTTGCACCAGGTGCAAGTTCCTAATAGCTAGATTGCAGAATCAGTGCAAGTAAAAGTACTTTGAAATGTTTCAATAATTTATCCTTATACAGTAAAAAAACAGTTTCTGAAATTCAGGATTTAACCATGAATCAAAAGCAGTTTATTTCAATGAGTTAAGTTTTAGTTCCTACAGAAAAGTTTGAAATTGCTTGTTTCAGGCATTTACTGAAAACTTTATGCAGTTCAGGCAAATAGTGAAACAGACAATTAAACCAAGCGGTCAAACTTACTATACTTTTACTATCTTAGCCCTACATTAGGTTTGTCAAACAAATGCAAGAGAATATATTACATGAATCCAAATCAAGTCTAGAGAGATATCACATGGTCTCAGCTCCAGAAATGAAGCATTGATCTGGGACCCATTTGAATTGTGCTTTTATATATACATATTTACACAAAATACAGGTATATTAGTGGGACTTAATGTCTGTCTGCCCTATAAGTAGCATGAAAATGTTTCTTTCAAATCAGTATGTGCAAGATTTGATGATGTTACCAGGGTCAAAAAGACACTTCATAAAACATCTCTGTCAAGAGCCAGGTCTCTTTGAAGCAGAAACGAGAGCCATCACTGTACATTTTCATTTCTTCAATCAAACATATTTACACATGTTCTGTTCCATTTTACACCATGTTTTACGAGTCTCTCCTCTTTGACTTTAATTGCTGATGTGAAATGTGACTCTCTTATCAGCCCAGCGAACCCTTCCCCTCGGATTTTACACCCATAAGTTTCACTTACGAGCTTCAGTTTTAATCCCCAAGGGCCTCAAAGTTAATGACTAATAAAATTCTCTAATCCTTCCCATGAACCTCGTGCTCCTGAAGCTGACAGAGCCCAGTTTGATTTATGTGGAGTTTCAAGTCCACTGTCAACTCTGCTATTTAGAATTGTTTCAAAGTCTAGAACGCTGCTGGTTGCTGGGTCATGCCTGGTTTATCACTGAATGCCCACAGCATGCCAAGCTGTGAGTAAAAAGGATTAGAACTGACTCAACCCGTAAGATGTTGCGAAATGCCTAGAATAAATCAAACTGTTACCGTTGGATTTTTTAAATGAAAACTTGTTTACAGTTGTTTAGATGCATCCCAAACATTTTTAACATGTAGGACTGAAATCAATTTTGAACAATAGAGTGAAGTGTTTCTGAAAATTTAATGAATCTAATAAAGGTTGTGTATATCTGCACTCAATATGTATATATGTTCCAGAATTACTGCATTTAAGTTACATCAAATCATAGGTTTTCGGGCACCTGTTTTGAGCCCTGTAACGAGGGGTGTTGTGCCATGCAGTCATTGTAAATTCTTGACTTACGGCTTGAGTTTAGGATGAAGTTAGTGAAATGTTTTACAGTCGTTCATGTGATTAGAAAGATAACAGTGAATGTTTCTTGATACTACGATTTGCTATGTTCATGAGTTTTAAAACGGAGACTAATTTAGTTACATTTGTTATTTTTATTTAGTTAATCATTTGTATATATGGTTTGAAGTATTTTCAAATTTGAAAAAAAAAATAATTAAAAATAAAATGTATATTCAATTAATTACAAAAGTCCCGTTTTTTTTCTTCGTATCATATATATTTTAAGCAGTCTTATGTAATTTGAATGACTAAACATCACCGATCTAGCTGATGGCTAGTCAGTGAAATGTACGATTACCACGGAAACATATTGTACACAAACACGAAATCTACCGAAAAAATACTTCCAATGCGTTTGTGAATAGACAAATAGTTCATTAATGATACATTCTGACTGAATCATCGGAAATCCTGAAATGACCACTCCCAGTTCTGAATAAGCTTGTGTGGACATTCAGCAAGATAGCACACCTGTCTTTTCACCTGAAAGGTTATTACACGAATATACAGTAGACATGTCACCTCTCCCGAAGCAAGTACGGTTGTGCTAAGAGTCGTAGGTTGTAAACTTACATATCTAAACTGACTAGACCCGTATCAACAATACCACACCTGAAGTAGGGTGCAGCTATGACGGCTGTGGACATATCTTTTTGAAGTTGACAACCCGTGTGTGACCCAGCGTACGGGTCAAATTGCTTTCAGACAAATCGGTGCAGTCAAACAAATATTCAAAGAAAGCACCTAAAACATTCTCGGTAAATTTCATTACATGCACACGCAATAACAGAGCGAGAATGAACTTTCTTAAACTCTTTCAAATCTACTTATTCATTGCTGGATCGTGTCCCACTTAAGCTATTGTTGGGCGTCCCATGTAGATATTCAAATCAAAAACACACACAGCACGGCAACCTGTTTCAGCGAGTCGCCAAACGTCACATTACTTACCTATTATAAGAAGGAAAATTGAAAATAATCCAACTGTATGTTGTGGTATCCGTTCCATGATTGTCGAAGGTTTTGCTAGTAATTTCCACACACAAACGACACGCAGATGCGGTCCACGGCGAGCTCCGATAGTAAAACAAGCTCTTTGGCTTCACGTATCCGCCATGAGTCATTTACTCCCAGAATGCTTTGCGGTGACCTACTTTCTCCTCAGCCCACCTGTAATCAACAACTGTCCGACAATGTATTCCTGGTAGAATACTGAATGTGGAGCATTTATCAACATCGCACACAATACTGCACCATGTTACGCCACCTTATCTGATTAACGTTTGTTTGTTTCAAACGACTGCTTTTTCAAACTTAAATACCTGTCATTTGTTTTTTTGACAGGGGGCAGTTTACGCGTCACAATAGTTGGAAAATGACCTGTGTTTCAGCAGAAAGCCAGTAGTAAAACAGACACGGTTGACACAACATGTCGCCTGATGTTTTGCTGGTAGTGTCAAAATATTGACTGACACGTTTTGGAAACATACAATGAATGCTGAATTTGTCTTTGGTGACGCGTTCGATTTTAAATACATTTCTTTTAGGCTAACGTTTATTGCTTTGTGTGAACCTCGCTCGATTATTAACTCCTGTTATGTTGATACAGATGCATGTTACATAACCACACGATATAGTTTTTCAATTTTTAAAAATATATATCTTATCTATAAGAATATTAACTACATAATGAAGTAGTCATGATTTTGCCATCGATATTATGTACAAATAATTTTTCAAATATTGTTATGGGTATACTGTCATACTTCCTTAATTTCAATAATTGTGAACAATTTTGGATTATCACAGGGAATTAACAATTTATAAAATAGATCAGTATGATCACATCGTGGCGGGTGTACAATCGTTTTCACTTCCTTCCTGGTACATTTCACAAAGGCTAAATATACAACAAAACTTGGATGGGCAATTGTCCATTATTATAACAAGGAACGAACAACGAAACCAGGAAAAGCTCGTCTAATCTCATCACAATTTAACTGAAATTTCCATATGAGATGCAATTAATGTCCGTGACAGTTATAACTTGATATCGTAATTGCATGTTGTACCACATAGTTTTGTTTGAAGACTTTTTATTGCTTCAGACATTGGCGTTCAGTTACGTCGTTACAGAATAATGAGTGCGTGCAGTTTTGCGCCGCAGTCAGCAATACCCTAGCAATACGTAGATTTTGTGAATCCACAAGGCGTTCGTGGCGTTACGAATCATTGTACTTACAGGTTGACGAATGGCATAGTCTCCGAATGCTTTGGGGGAGTCAGTGAGTTTAGTTTTACTCCGCTTATATTCCAGCAATATTACAGCGGGCGACACCAGAAATGGGCTTCACACATTTTGCCGATGTGGGGAATCGAACCCGGGCTTTCGGCGTGACGAGCGAACACTTTAACTACGCTACATCACGCTAGATTTATGCACCATTTGTCTTGTATTCATTGTACGCATTCAGCTTAAAACAGCGCAAGCCTTAGAATTTAGTAGTTAGTGAACAACGAAGAGAAAACATATCTATTTACTTGTTCCATGCATAATGTATATCCTTCTTACACATTTACATATATATTGTATTGTGATACAGAAGTAAATGAACTGAACGCTGTTAATATAGTACTTTAATCAAACGGTCAAGCCAACGACCAGTGTCCATTTAGCGTGTCACACGACGAGGCCCACAGGAAGGGCATAGGTGTATATAGTATAGAGGCCTCTACACTGCTGGTGTCCTCTGGGTCAGTTATTTAATGTTGTTTCAAAGTCATAAGCATTTTTTTCAAATGTGTTTGAATATGTTGTCTTCCGTCACCTATGCTCCATCTCTATATCATATCCAATCAATAACCGGAAGGTTGCAGGTTCGACCCCCGACCGCGTCCTACCAAAAGACGTTAAAATATGGTACTTGTTGGTCCCTGCCTGGCCCATCGGCATTAATGGGTACAACAAGGACTTGTCGGCTCGGAGTCAGTATAATGTGTCTGAGTGGGGTATTCATGCTTCACTGCGGCATGGCATCTCAGTGAGCTAGCACTATAAAACCAGCTTCAGTCTGGGCTAGTACAAGCAGCCGCACATACACATACACACGCATGCACGTCGTCATGTGAGCGAAATATTCTCAAGCACGACGTTAAACCCAATTTCACCTCACCTCACCTCCCATCAATAACAGAGTAATTAGAAAGTACCAACGAGGACAAATAATACCACACCGAGTGTAGGACATTTCCCCATCAGGATAATTCCCCACTAGGACAATTCCCAATCTTGACATTTCCCCACACCTGTACTTTCTCCAAGATAAAATGAGATTTACAATAATGTATAGATGGATTCGCCATTCCAAGTAAATTCCCAATTAAACAGAGTGAACTGATGAAAAATGAGCTCATTATATGATTTTATATATTTAGCTATATTAATACAAAATCTCAGCTTGTGTGTGTTCATTATTTGTGATGGGTGTGGGGAATTGTCCTACTGATTACAAAACAGGTGTGGGGAATTTTCCTAGAGGGGAATTGTCCTGATGAGGAATAGTCCCTACACCTACCACACCAGCATCGCACTTATTGATCCATTCTTTTCTTATGAGCCATTTGGGTTTGAAGAGGTGATCAATTCTGACCCGGAATTCCTACGAGATCCAAGACTGAAAAGTTTCCTAAGTTTGCCGACAAGTTCATTATATCTGTCAGCCCATCGTCCAAACAGTCCGTTCATCTGTATTGTGACATGTATATGACGTACATCGTCAGTAGCATTGTCTATTTCAAGATAACCGTGAAGACCCGGGTTAGAATTGGTCGTCGTAAAAGGGGACTAACATGATCGGCAGGTCAGACTAGCTGCCCAAATTGTATAGACCGTTTCTCATGCTGTTGATCACTGGATTGTCTGGTCCAGATTAGATTATTTACAGACCGCCGCTATATATCTGGAATATTGCTGAGTGCGGCGCAAAAGAAACCCACTCACTCACTCAACGTGATACATAACCATTCGTTACCTTTCAACAACGCTTTTATTCATGCAAATATGAGATCGGGTAATACTGTTTCTCTCGATAGTATTCTCTGCATGATAATTAACCCCTGTTGTTGATAAACTCCACAGTCGATCCCACAGTTGTGGTAATTAACTGATATATCGTTTTACTACGTAAACAAGTCCTATGAAAGGGCCCACGACTAAACCCGGAACAAGACCGCCGCGAGCTATAGCACCAGTTCATACCACGTGGACCTGGAAATGTAAATACACGATTGACACGCGATGCTAATTTCACAGTCAAACTTGTCAATATACACGGTAATGTTGTTTCAGAGACGGCGTGGGTATGAGAATGTATATCGCTTATATATACAACTTGTCCTATTGCCGGTTTGAATGAAATGTGCACGCGATATACAACTTGCACGTATGACTTGTAACGCTGTTCTTAGTGCAATATGCATGACGACTGGTGTATATAGACTGCTATCGACATGGCCGGAGGTGTATATATGTATAACTGTCTGTGTTTAGGTGAGATAAACAAGAGTGGAGTGTGTTATTCATCGAGTTCAGTTTTCCTTTTCTGGTCCAACGCAGTTTCAGATGCGAGTAGCCCTCTGTTTAAACTGTTTGCTCTTTAGCTGCGATATTTTTGGCTCATCTGTTCAGAAAATACTGGAAAAATAACTAGCCTCAGGCTTTTTCTAAAAGTGTAATTGTTCGCTAGATAAGATGGATGTTGTGAAAATATATTTTGTTCTTTTCAAAAAATGTAATGCACGCGCCTTCAAATATATAAACCCCTAAAGAATAATTTTCCCAATGACTTTTGCGCGAGTGCCTCCTTCGTTGTGCCATGCACAAATGAGTGGATAGTGTTTTACACCGCATTAACACTGCGCGAGCAATATCAGAGATGGGAACACCAGAAATTGGCCTTATACTTTGACCCATGTTGGGTATCGGTCCCAGGTTTTCGGCACGATGAGCAAACGATCTTACCAGTATACTGACTACAGTCTTATCACGAGTTGGTCCGCTCTCAAATTAGATCAGAGGCAACTTAATTTGTTGTTGACTTTGATGCAAGGTTTCACTTCCTGTATTCACCGCACCCATGCAGAGTGAGTGAGTTAGTTTCACGCCGCAATATTCCAGCAATATCACGGCAGGGGACAATAGAAATAGGATTCACACATTGTACCCATTCTGGGAATCGAACCCGGGTCTTCGGCGTGACGAGCGAACGCTTTAACCACTAGGCTACCAATCCCCTTCGCCCATACTGATGATCAAAGGCATTGGAAAATTGCATATAGTCTTTGGTTCCGTAAAAGTTGGAAAGTTGCTACTAAATATTACAATTTGTAGCCATTGGAGCAAAGGCCTCGTTAACTCGTCAATTCACCCACAGGGGCGGTGGGGTAGTCTAGTGGTTAAAGCGTTGGCTCGTCACGCCGAAGACCCGGGTTCGAATCCCCACATTTCTGGTGTCCCCCGCCGTGATATTGCTGGAATATTGCTAAAAGCGGCGTAAAACCAAACTCAGTCAGTCAGTCAGTCAGTCAATTCACCCACAATAATCTTTTTACACAGCAGTGCACCACTCAATTCTACATCCACGTGACTATCAAGTGACGTAGTTACATGTATTTTATCCCTCGCGAAAACAAATCTGTACATATATAGACACTGATAACATTCACTTGATTCCCAAAGGCTGTCACATCCCAAAATATCTGATGAATACAACCTGCGATACCATCTGTTATTAAACATATGCTGTAATATCGTGTTCCAGGAGTTATTAATGCTAGGCAGCACATGTATCAGATGCCAGTTACATGGGCGTGACGGTAAATGATTCATTGCACGTGTGCAAACAGCAAGCTCGGACAGCATTTCGGAGAGCATCCTCGGTATACAGGGCCCCATTTCACACATGCAGCTATCGTAGCGCTACGACTGTCGTACCTCCTATACTGTAACATTGACTTACGACTGTCGTACCTCTTATACTGTAACATTGACTTACGACTGTCGTACCTCCTAGACTGTAACATAGACTTACGACTGTCGTACCTCTTATACTGTAACATTGACTCACGACTGTCGTACCTCCTA